TACAATATGTGGACGCTTCAGCACCAACTCATGCTGATTTGGGTAATTTGGCATTAAAACCGCTAACCACTTATGTGGTGCGGATAAGCGCCATCAACGAGAAGGGTGAGGGCGAAGCACAGGAGAAATCTTTTAGGACGTCAGGTAAATGAATACCGTCACTTTTTGTGTTACCAAGTTTATGTTTAAGTTTAATGTAGCCGCAAAATTAATTGAACTGATCTTGCAGCTCGGACTTCTACGACTGCTCAAGCAATTTCCTGGGGTTCCACAAATCTTTTAATGGCAATTGCGTTCATTCTTATCTTCTTATTGTTTGTTGTTGATCTAATATGTTTTGCCACAAATCGTTGTGGTATTATTGCTTGTTTCTGTGCCAAATGTCTTGGTCGAGATGTTCAAAGTTCACGAGAGAAAGACGTTGAACAGGGCAACAAGTAAGACTGCTTTCAAAATCTCTCAAAGTACTGGGCGGCTAGCTTCTTTTTTTTTTTCTAATCGCTGTTTGTAATTATATTGAAAGATATTCGAAGACTTTTATCACTTCATTTTTGTTGTTACAGGTCTGAAACTAATCGTTTGCTGAGTGAAGGTAAAACGGAAGGTCGGCCAGCAACTAACAGGTGATATGCTTGTTCAATTCTGGAAGGTAAAAATACTTAATATAAAAAATGCTTAAATAATCTATAATCATTTATTATAGTTGAAGAGTCAGCTAATCGTTCTTTTTCTTTTTAACTTTTTGCTTTTATTATTTCTTTTTGATTTTCTTCTGAATTAATCCGTTTGATTTACCAAGGGCTAGTTAAAGAGGCCAAATACTGAGTGGACATTTTAGATTAGGCTTTTGACAGCATAATCTAGCCGGAAATAATAAAGAGAGCGGAAAAACAACGGGTGATGGTAAGAAGGATAAGAATTTTGATTATTCAGCATAAATACACATTATATGTATATTTTTCCGACTAATATGACGGTTACAGAACTTGTTTTCAGCATGTCAAGGTGCTAACTAAGCAAAAAAAAAAAAA